GAGGGAGGGAGGGAGGGAGGGAGGGAGGGAGGCTACAATGGATTAGAGTGAGGTCCTGAGTGTGTAGCCACAGGCAGCGCTGGGCAGGCCTGCACCTGGAGCAGGGCTGGGGAGCGGGGAGGGAACACAGGACACCTACCTGTGATCACGTTTCCTGATAGACACAGGGCCATGGCTCCCACAAAGGAGCCTTTGTGAACTGCCATAAATTCCTAGCAGTCTTGACCCCCATAAGGCAAAAGCCACACCTGCTTCTGTGCTCCCCAACAATAGAGATTGTGTGGGGCGCACAGACACGCCCCATCCCACACTGAACACAGCTCCTGTGCCCAGGGCTCCAGAGATTCCATGGTCCCCCAGATCCAAGGAAAGCTTAGAAGCACCATGAATGGAATCCCCCAAGTCCTGGGCACCAGGGTTCACCACAATGAGCCCACCAATCACGTCTGGGTTGTCCTCAGGTAACCAGATAGCTGGGAGTCTGCACAGTGGGGACCGGTGGGGTCTGTTTTCGGGTCTATTTGTGTGGGGAGAGAGGGAAGAAAAAGGCCGTTATGGTGGGGTGGCTCGCCCCTCAGCTCTCCTCTCCCCAACAGGGGCCGTGGGGGCCTGTACCATCTCGGTGACACAGCCAGAGTACCTGGAGGTGGACGTCACCCATCCGGCTGTCACCATACAGTGCAACTTCTCCATGACCAGATGTCCCTCCGAGCCACCGAGGGCCCTGTGGTTTCGCTACGGCCCCCAGCAGCCTGAGACCCTGTGCTTGACTGGATGCAAAAGCGAGACAGAGAAATTCACCACGTACCACTTCCCAGGCCAGAATCAAGCTATTCTCACCGTCCACGCACTGACTGCAAATGACAGCGCTATTTACATCTGTGGCATAGCGATCCCCAGTGCTAAGCACACAGGCAGTGGGACCATGCTGGTAGTAAGAGGTCAGTTGGTAAAGGCTTCAGGGAACATTCTGTGCGAGCCCTTTCCGTCACCTCACCATGTCATTCCTGTGAGGAGTCAGAATTTAAAAGTTTCGGGCTTAGCCAGGGGCCGATGGCTCACGCCTATCATCCTAGTTACTCAGGAAGCTGAGATCTGAGGATCACAGTGCAAAGCCAGCCCAGCAGGAGCATCCATAAGAATCTTATCACCAATTAACTACCAGAAAACCAGAAGTGGAGCTGTGGCTCAAGTGGTAGAGCACTAGCCTTGAGCTGAAGAGCTCAGGGACAGTGCCCAGGCCCAGAGTTCAAGTCCCACAACTGACAAAAAAAAAAAAGTTTTGGGATGGGGATGTGTCTAGTGGTAGAGTGCTTGCCTAGTGTGCATGAAACCATGGGTTTGATTCCTCAGAACCACATAAACAGAAAAAGCCAGAAGTGGCACTGTGGCTCAAGTAGCAGAGGCTAGATTTGAGCAAAAGAAAGCTCAGGGACAGTGCCCAGGCCCTGAGTTCAAGTCCTAGGACCAATCCCCCAATAAAAGTTTCAAGCCAAATGCCTATAATCCTAGCTACTCAAGAGGCTGAGATCTGAAGATCACAGTTCAAAGCCTGCCTGGGCAGGAAGGTCCACTCCATGAGACTCTTACCTCTAATTAACTACCCCAAAAGACAGAAGTGGGTTGAAGTGGTAGAGTGTGAGCCTTGAGCCAAAAAAAACTTTAAGAACAGCACCCAGGCCCTGAGTTCAAGCCCCAGGACCAACACCAAAAAAAAGTTTGAAGTTCACATGCCTATAGTCCCAGCTACTCTAGAGGCTGGATCAGAAGGATTGCTTTGAGATCAGCCTGGGCTCCACAAAGAGACCCATCTCTCAAAAACAACAAGGGATTTAAAAGAAAAGCTTTCACATGGTTGTAGCGGGAGGGAGAGAAAGGCAATAACTCCTTGTCTTTTTTTTTTTTTTTTTTAAATCTCTTCCTTAAAAGGACTCAGAGATGATGAGCATGAGATCAGTTAAATGTGATCAGCACCAACCAGGGCTGTATTTTAAAATGAGGATCAGAGACCTACTGTGACCTATTAGGATTCCCGCTTTAGCTATTAGGGGTATCCCAATAGGCTTTTAACACTTGAATAGCATTTAACCTTGGTTCATTCTCATCTGTAAGATAAATTAGAAATGAGTTAACACAGACACACAAACCTCCTTTAATAAGGCCTGGTAAAATAGTAGGTGTTTATTAAATGTTAATTACTGAAATTAAAACACATGATGACTTCAGACTCATGTCCCACTGCACATTAGCCTTCTATTAAAAATATTAAATGGAGAAATAGCTTATGGAGAAATAATGGTCACAAAGAGATTTCCATTCCTTCTTTTTTTTTTACATTAAGACAGTGTCTCACTATGCAGGCCAGGAGAAGGCTGGCCTCAAATTCCCAATCCTCCTCCTGCTTCAGCCTCCCAAGTGGCACAAACCACAACCCTTGGCTTCTTTGTGGTATTGGAGTTTGAATTCAGGGCCTCATGCTTGCTAAGCAGGTGCTCTATCACTTGAGCCATACCTGCAGTCTTTTTTGCTTTATTTTTCAGATAGGGTCTCACGCTTTTGCCAAGGCTAGCCTCAAACCCAGATCTCCTATACAAGCCTCACACATGGCTGGCATTACAGATGTGGATCACCATGCTCAGCTTATTTGTAAGGATGAGGTCTTGCTTGGTTGTTGCCCAAGCTGGTCCCAAACTTCGCTTCTCCAGAGCTTCATCTCTTGAGTAGCAAGGACTGAGCAATCTCTCTTTATGAGCAGAGTTAAAGGTTTTACTGAGGCAGACATGGAAATTGCCTGCCTTTTCTACAGAGCTCCAAATTTAGCACTAAAAAAGTTTTAAAGGTTGTATAGATGTAGCCAATTTGTTCCTTCAGAGATAAAATCCACATGCTGTATAATCTGAGTTGACAGGATAAGCATTGGGTTCAACAACGGCACCTAAAGGAATACAGCCCCAAGCCAGCCCAGGAAGAAACGTCTACATGCACGCACACACAAAAGCACATGTCACACAACACACACCTGTCTTTAAGCAACATGGCCTCTGAGGGGTAAGTGTGTGTGTGTGTGTGTGAATCCTGGGGCTTGAACTTAGGGCATGGTGCTGTCCCTTAACTTTTTTTTTCTTTGTTGGTTGTGGGTCTTGAACTTTGGGCCTGGGCATTGTCCCTGAGCTCTTCAGCTCAAGGTTAGCGCTGCTCTATCACTTGAACCACAGAACCACTTCCGGTTTTCTAGTTGTTTATTGGAAATAAGAGTCTCACAGACTTTACTGCCCAGGCTGGCTTTAAACTGTGATCCTCAGATCTCAGACTCCTGAGCAGCTAGGATTACAGGTGAGCCACTGGCGTCCCGCTCCCTGAGATTTTTTGTATGCGCAAGAGTAGCAAAGTGAGCCACAACTCCACTTGTGGATTTTTGGGGGGGGGTCCGGTCGTGGGCCTGAACTCTAAGCTTAGGCGCTGTCCCTCAGCTCTTCACCTCAAGGCTAGTACTCTACCACAGCCAGCTCATGGCTAGCATTCTGCCACTTTGAGCCACAGCGCCACTTCCGGCTTTTTTTTTTCTGCTTATGTGGTACTGAGGAATCAAACCCAGGGCCTCATGCATGCAAGGCACACGCTCTACCACTGAGCCACCTTCCCAGCCCAATTTTTAGAAATTTATTGGCGATAAGAGTCTCATGGACTTTCCTGTCCAGGCTGGCTTCAAACCCAATGCTCAGATCTCAGCTAGGACTACAGCATAAGCCATCTGCACCCAGCTGGCTGCTAGGTTTTTTAATTGGTTAACCATCCAAAACCAGAAGTGGACCTGTGGCTCAAAGGGGCAGAATACTAGCCATGAGCAAAAAAAGCTCAGGGACAGTGTCCACGCCCTGAGTTCAAACCCCAGGACCAACAAAAATAAAAATAAAAAAAGTACTTCTCTGGCTAGGTGCAGCTCAAGTGCTAGAGCGCTGGTCTAGCGAGTACAAGGCGCTGAGTTCAATCCTCAGTGCGGAGGGAGGGAACTGTTTCTGAGCACTATGACAAATGGATATCAACTTCATTTTTATGTAGTATATTTAAAGAACTGATGAGCGGCTGGGCCCTTGTGGCTCACACCTGTAATCCTAGCTACTCAGAAAACTAAGACCTGAGGCCTGCAGTTCAAAGATAGCTTGGGCAGGAAAGTCTCCAATTAAACCAGAAAAACAAAACAAAGCACCTGGTAGTGGAGGTGGAACGTGCCAGAGCTGAGCAAAGTAAGAGCGCAGGGCCCTAACTTCAAGCCCCAGCAACAGCATAGAGGAAAGAGCAAAACAAAACAAAACAATGAGCAACTATAAGCACCACAAAGTGAAATATTCCAAATCAGTGAGAGCGTGATGGGCAGAGTGAGCGCAGGCTCCACGTCTGCCTTGCTTCCGTGGTACCCGACACATCCACACCAGCAGTATGCTCCACAGTGAACCATCTTTCTGTTTCCTTAACTAAGGAAGCCGACTTCTCAGCAAGGAAGTGCAGCACCTCCTGATGGCGCTCTTAGCCCTGCTGTCCATCTACATCATCGGGATGGGCGTGGTCTTCCTGGTCCTCTCCCAGGTAAGTTACACATACAGGAGCAGGCCTTGGATGCTCCCCTAAAGCCTCCAATAGGGCACAGGAAAACCATCCCAGATCTCCACCCACGGTGTGAGCCTGAGGCGACACCTCCTCCCCATCTGCAGGGCTAGGCAGCTGCAGAAGCCTCAGCTTTGCATCACTAAACCTACATCCATTGTTTTCCCCTACAGTTCAGAAATCCAGGATTAAGAAACCATCCTGGGCTGGGAAGGTGGTAGAGTGCTTGCCTTGCATGTATGAGGCCCTCGGTTCGATTTCTCAGCACCACGTAAGCAGAAAAGGCCAGAGTGGCACTGTGGCTCAAGGGTAGAGCGCCAGTCTTGAGCTGAAGAGCTGAGGGACAGCGCCCAGGCCCCAGAGTTCAGGCCCTATGACTGACAACAACAAAAAAGAAACCATCCTGTATACTAGCGAATGGCAGTGAGATTACTATTACACTCTAAAAGAGGCTAATGAAGATGAGAAGCTGCCTTAAAGTATTCTTTAATCTAAAAAAAGTTATCAAAAAGAATGTGTGGGGTGTTTGTGTGTGGACATGTGTGTTGTGTATGCATACACACTAGTACTAGGGCTGGAACTCAGGGCCTTTCACAATTGCTTGGCTTTATTGGCTCAAAGCTGCTGCTCTACCAGTTGGGCCACACCACCACTTCTGTTTTTTTGCTAAAGCTGTCTGCCAGGGGCTGGTCTCAGTCTCCAGAGTAGGGAGGATTATAGGCCTTAGTTCCTGGCACCTCTCGGGGAAAATTAGCTTTTGACTCTACACAAACTAATAAAAGAGGATATATAACTAGATCTCCTACAGTCAACAGCTGAGTGTTAAACTCCCTTAATGAAATAACAGCAGCCCAGAAGGAACATGAAGAGGGCTATAAGAGTGATTCAAATGGTAGAGCACCTGCCTAGCAAACCACACGGCCATGAATTCAAACGTCAAAACTGCCAACATAACAACAAAAAGAGAGAGAAAAGAAACCATTTATAGTTTGTCATTTGGAAATTTAGTCTTCTGGCAGGAAAGACTTTCAACAACTGTTGTGAGTAAATAAAATGTTTACAGACTTTCCTTTTTCTTCTTGGCAGTCAAAGTCTAAAGTTCTAAGAAGAAAGGAAACAAAAGAAGATTCCCAGAAGGTATTACCAACACTTAAAGATTTTCCCCATGTGGCCAATAGGGACAATTTTAAATGGGGAGTCAGAATGTTCAACTACAGATACACTTGTGTTCCTTATTACTGAGAACCTCACACTAATTTCCCGTGGCAAACCATGATGTTAGCCATAACTTCTGTTTACTTCTCCAATGACAAGAGCTCCGCACCAGTGGGTGGGAGAGGGCGTGTTTCTGTGACTGCAGACAGTCAATGAAAAGGCTCTGATGATGTACAGCCATCAGCGTGCATTCTCCTGAAAGCTGCTTTCCTCATTTGTATTTATAGAGGAGTGCTCGGCGTATTTTTCAAGAAATCGCTCAAGAACTCTACCAGAAAAGAAATATGGAAGTGAGCCATCAACCCGTAAGTGTAAAATAGCAACAAGAGAGCACGCTGCACTAAAAAACCAGCTGCCAATGAGCCATCAATAATTGGGTTTTCCTTTAGACGAGTCTCCAGCAAGACTTTCACATGAAATGACTTTCTATAGAGAATCTGTTTTGATAAACCCATCACCAACACCAGTTGATACAATATGAAGTAGTCTCTGGCTGGCATCTTAGTGATAAGCACTTTCAGAAACACATTGCGCACAAGCAGTTTTCAATCCAAGAAGAATGCTTTTGTGAATTCAAAGCTACTTCACAAGTAGCTAGGATCCTTTTAGCTGGGATCAAGTATATAAGCCACTTTGTGTATCATGAAACGCAACAGTAGGCATGAAGTCCATGTGCACACACATACTTGGATCAAATATGCTGTGGGGCTTGAACTCTGGGACTAGGAGCTGTCCCTGAGCTCTTCAGCTAAAGGCTAGCACTCTACCACATGAGCCACAGGATCACTTCGGCTCTCTGGTGGTTATCTGCAGAGAAAGAGTCTCACAGACCCTGGGCTGGCTTTGAACTGCGATCCTCAGATTTCAGCCTCCAGAGTAGCTAGGATTACATGTATGAGCCACTGGCGCCTGGCTTGAAATTATATTTTTAAAAATCACTTGTTAAGGCCTGGTGTTGGTGGCTCACAGTAATCCTAGTTACCCAAGAAGCTGAGACCTGAGAATCTCAGTTCAAAGCCAGCCAGGGCAGTGAGACTCTTACCTCCAATTAACAACCAGAAAACCAGAAGAGGAGCTGTGGCTCAAAGTGATAGAGCACTAGCCTTCAGCAAAAGAGTACAGGGACAGCACCCAGCCCCTGAGTTCAACCCTATGACCAAAAAAAAAAAAAAAAAAAATCACTTGTTACTGCTGAGGCACAAAGAAATTGACAACATACAAGCTGGAACTAGCTGGGTACAGGAGGCTCAGTTCTACAGCTCTTGATTCCAAGTCAGCCCAAGCAGAAAAGTCAGTAAGTCTTTTATTTACAACTAACCACAAAGAGCTAGAAGTGGAAGCTGTGGCTCAAGTGGTAGAGCACTAGCCTTGAGCAAAACAGCTTAGGGACAGCACCCAGGCCCAAAATTCAATCACCAGGACCAGCCAAAAAAAAAGCAAAAATGGAACTAATGCTTTAAGAAGTATTTCTTCAGTCTTTGTGGTTAGGACAGGAAGGGTTCTATACTACGTGCCTAACAGTGCTTCTTTAAACACATTTGCAATGCAACGCTGTTGGAGCTGATAGAACAGACAACATTCTTTTTTTTTTTTTTTTGGGTCCGGTCATGGGACCTGAACTCTGGGCCTGGGCACTGTCCCTCAGCTCTTCAGCTCAAGGCTAGCGCTCTACCACTTGAGTCACAGCGCCACTTCCGGCTTTTTTCTTTTTGCTTATGTGGTGCTGAGGAATCGAACCCAGGGCCTCTGGCATGCAAGGCAAGAGCTCTACCACTGAGCCACCTTCCCAGCCCTGAACAGACAACATTCTATGCTGCATGACCAGAGTACTCAGATTTAAATTAAAATGGGTATGTACTTTCCTAATAAGCAGCAACAAGAGGACAAATGCAACCAAGAAGTAATGTCCAGGAGCAGTTGGAATTTGTGTGTGTGTGTGTACACACACACACCACTACTAGGGACCTGAATTCAAAGCCTGGGCACTCTTTTTTATTCAGGGCTGGCATTCTACCACTGAACCATGTATCCATTTCTGGGTTTCTGCTGGTTAATGGGGCATAAGAGTCTCATGGACTTTGATGCCCAGGCTAACTCTGAAATGTGATCTCAGGTCTCAGTTAATCCAACTTTTAAAGAGGCTCTTTACCCAAAAGACAATACTATCTAAGTAATCACTTCATCTCTCAGAGTATATACAAATTGTAATAAAAAAAAATAGGGAAGTCCCATTACCTAAGACCCCACTCTGAGAAATGAGTGATAAATGCCCACTTCCTTCTTTCTTCTTGAGCCGGGGCATCTGTTTCAACAACAAGGAAGCAAAAGGAAGATGCTGGAAGGAAAGCCTGCAAGTGTAAACTCTGATATTCCCAACTCCTGGACAGGGAAGTTATTTCTCAGTTCCCGATCTTACTTTATAAAAAGGAAACGGACAGCCTGACCTATGGATGACTTGCAGGGACATGGAACCCGTAGCAGAGGGCCCCACGTGCCAGGGGGAGAGGGAGGGGAAGAAGAGGAAGGGGTGCCCTGGGGTAACCTACTGCACAAGGCCTATTATTTGCTTACCATTGCAGGAGAAAGATGACATGTATGAGAACAGAAGAGAACTTGCCAACTACAAGAGACCATAGTTCGGTGGCTGAAACTAGAAAGTCAGAAGCCGTGACAACATAAAAGCACATTACACCAATCAGGTCTTTAAAAAGCAAGATTAAATGGAAGGTCAACAGGCTACACACAGTACATCAGGATATACGGATCCTGCCCATCAACACCCAAGAAAACAAACGGAAAAATGCCCTTATTTAAAGGGAGGAGAAAAAAAATGTAAGCAGCCTAGTGTTTCCAAAAATGTCAGACTAATGTTTTAAGATGTGTGGAGAAAAAAAATCTAAGCAGCCTAGTGTTTTCCAAAACACCAGACTAATATTTTAAGCTGTGTATATGTGTGTGCACATGCGTGTGCCCTGTCCCTTAGCATTTTCAAGAGAAAATGGTTGGTGCTCTACACTTGAGCCATAGCTTCATTCCCAGATTTCTGCTTGTTAAATGGAGATGAAAAAGTCTCATGGACATTTCTGCCCCAGCTGGCTTTGAACTGTCATTTTTTTTACATCTCAGCCTCCAGAGTAGCTAGGACTACAGGCATGAGCTGCCAGATGTAGAGACTTTTATAAATGTGTCCTACACTTGTGTCGTTTAATGTAAGGGGTGTATATGGTAGTTGTCATCCTGAAGAAGAACCGAAATCAAGCCACAAGGCCCAGCTTCAGTAAAACAAGAGTCTCCAGTGAAAATCTCATGACAGAATCACTGTCCACATTTCGAAGAGTACCAAAATCGGACTTAGAGAAACTCATTTTGAAAGGAACGCTGGAGTCAGAGTTATTTCTTCTGATACTGTATTGGGATAATAGTATAGTGTGCAGGGGGGGAGGGGGGAGGCTGGGAAGGGATGGGAAGGGTAAACAAAGGAGGAGGCTGCAATGCTTGGTAAGAAATGTACGCATTATCCTGCCCATGCAATTGTAACCCCTCTGTACAGTATGTTCACAAATAAAATTAAATTAAATTTAAAAAAAAATGTACTCATTATCTTGCCCATGTAATTGTAGCCCCTCTGTACAGTATTTTCACAATAAAAAAAAGTGAATACAAAAAAAAAATAGTATAGTGTGCATTTTCTTTCCAAGTATGCAAAATAATTTACATCACACCACCAACAAGCTGGGAGGGGGGGAAAGGAGGAGGAGGAGAAGAAGGAGATGGGGGAAGAGGAGGAGGAGGAGGAAGAAGAGGAAGAGGAGGAGGAGACAAATAAAGAGTCAATGCTCAGCAGGTTAAGCACAGAAAAGCTCAGAATGAATAAGCTACCACTGACTCTAGATGTCAGTGTTGCACCACAGAACAGCATGGAGAAGGCCACCACAGACACCCACACATACCGGGGATCTCTGTCATCCCCATCTGGACGTTCCACCAACTTAGGAGACAAATTTCTTTCCCACCTCGCTAGGACAATGGGAGATGGATGTGCTTTGAAACCTCTTAGTATTACACCGTTTAAAGTACTCCCAAGTGTATGTTTATTAAGCATGAATTACAATGCATTCTTTCTTTGTTACTTTGTATTCTTTATTAGTGTTTCCCTAAACTATTATTAAAAGAGGCATTTTGTTTTAATCCAGGTACAACTTTAAAATATTTTGCAATCCCTTTGGAAAGGCTTTACACTGATAGCTCGGTCAGAGACAGGGGAGAGGGGGGAAGGGAGATGGGAGAGGAAGGCAGGGGAAGGGGAAAAAAAGGGAGGGCCAAGGAGGGGAGAAGGTGAGCACCACCCCATTCTCTTTTCTGCATGTGTATGCATGTGTGTGTGTTTGTGCATGTGTGTGCTGGGGACAGTATGTGCATAATGAGCGTGTGTATACTTGTATTTTAAACACAAAAACAGAAATGAAATGATGGCATACACAGCAGAAACTTATTTGCTCCCTGTCTTCCAGAATCAATCTGTGTACGCTCTGTACGCTCGGAGGCACACACATTCGCTGGCCTAGGTGAAATAAATTTCTAAACCAGATTGGGGGGGGGAAATAAAAACAAAACCTCAAGACTAATTCTATGCAGGTGAACAGAAGTGTTAAATTCACTCACTCTCTTTCCATTCCTGGCAGCTGTAACCTCTAGGTACTTAATCCCAGGGATGAAAAGACTCGGGTCCTTGCGTGACTAGGCAGGAGATGGGACCTGCTAGTATTTGTTCTGAACAAGCCATTCCCAGTGTAAGTAAGGACTAGGCTTCAAAGATTGATTATTTTTCCCTTTTAGTTTTTTTTTTTTCAAAGATTACTTTTAAGCTCAAACTTAGACTTGGATTTCCCAAAGAAAACTTCTAAGGGCTGGGAAGTTAGCTCAGTGGTAAAGTGCTTACCTTGCATGCATGAGGCCCTGGGTTCGATTCCTCAGCACCACATAAGCAAAGAAAGCCAGAAGTGGTGCTGTGGCTCAAGTGGTAGAGTGCTAGCCTTGAGCTGAAGAGCTGAGGGACAGCGCCCAGGCCCTGAGTTCAGCCCCCACAACTAACAAAAAAAAAGAAAAGTTCTATTTCCCTAGGTCACATGTAAGAGTGGCTGGTGCCTATGTACTATTCATTTGGGGGGGGGGGGAAGAAGAGGAGGTGGTGGAGGATCGTCATGGGGCTTGAACTCGGGGCCTGGACATTGTCCCTGAGCTCTTTTGCTCAAGGCTGGTGTTCACCACTTTGAGCCACAGCTCCACTTCTGATTTTCTGATGGTTCATTAAAGATAAGAGTCTCATGGACTTTCCTGCCTGAGCAAGCTCTGAACTGTGATCCTCAGCTCTCAGACTCCTGAGGAGCTAGGATTACAGGTGTGAGCCACTGGTGCCTGGAATAGTCATTCTTTTATTCACCCAAGTAGCAAATGTTTATTGAGTATGACGCTGTGGGGCAAGGCCTTCCCTGCACACGATCCTGGGTCACATCACATTAGCTGGTTCCATTGAGCTCGTGAATTCACTTTTGCATATACTCTTCTCTTCTGGAAAATACTTTAAGACTCACAAACACAGCTCTACAGCCTGAGTAAGGCCCTAGGTTTGATCCTTAGCACTGCAGAAACAAAACAAGATGGGAAAATGGAGCTCACTGTGACCTCCAGCACAAAATGTTCCCTCCCTCCAAAAGTTAATGAGTCCTTCCCTCTCTTCCCCTCACAGTACACAGTCATGTTTCTTGCCACACCCTCCCACCATTGCTGTTACATCTGTCTTTTGTTCTACCCTGTGATTTACAAGAGCACACTGCTCATATATCTGCATTTCTCCTGCCTGGCACTATGTATTACAGCAAGCCAAAGCCCAAATGCTTTTATATGAACACAAGGACACAGTGATTCAATCAGACCATGCTTTAGAACTCTAACTTCCCTCCCTGACCAGAAACCTGATCTCTCCAGAAAGACTCTTCACTGAATCACTAATAACATCCACATCCTTGCTACCTGAGCATCCCAAAGAATATCCAACTGGAAAGGATTCCATGTGAAAGTTTGACTTTCCCATGACCATGAGAACAGAAAACTGGGACAACTTGTCTCTGTTTGGGCTGACAGAGCAATTCGTCTCAGACTGGTTAGCTTACAGAATTTCTATTTGTCATGGTTCTGGAGGCTAAAAGTCTGAGATCTGAATGCCCCAGGGTTGGGTTTTGGTGAGGACCTGAAATAATGCTGGGTCTAAGTAACAGCACTTTGTTCTCACGGCCCATCCTGGTGCCTTGCTGGGTGGTGTGGGCTTTTCACCCAGCTCCAAAAAGCTTAGAGGTGAGATATAGGCCATTCTACATGTCAGGTGTTTAGCCCCAGAAAAGCTTTGCTACAGAAAATGCTCACCTGTTTCTTTCCCTAAATGATTTGATGTGCTTGCCTCTGAGTATTTCCCTACACGGTTCACCTAACACTTTTGTTAAGACTTAGTATCCACACCAAATGTGGTTTTTGTCTTTAAAAGCTTTGTGCTTCTAGCAGGTCTTTGAAACAGGAGTCCACCTGTAGTTGGCAACTTTTTTTCTTTTTTGGGGGGGAGGGGGATCTTGAGATCTATTCTCAGGGCCCACTGGCTCTTCTGCTGTTCCAAAAGCCAGCATGCGGACACCTGACAAGCCACCATATTTTTTTGGAGTCATTCAGGACAGCTCTTCTGGGAATCGATCCATCTGGAACTGTGGAGGTAAGGGAGCAGACATGCTTGAGACCCGCCCCACAGGCCCTCAGGACTGTGATGATGCAGAGAGGTTTGGGTTCTGCTGAGGTGGAAGAGGCCCAATCAGCAGGCTCTCATACTGTAGTTTTGGTTGTGGCTGAGGTGGACTTCTGTGGATCAGGCCTTCCCAGCAGGTTCTCAGGGAAGAAGAGAGTTCTGATTACTGCTGAGGTAGGCGGTCTTTGGACCAGGCCTACCCAGCCGGCTTCAGTTTTTGTGTTTCTGTCTTGGTCTTGTCTCATTCTGTTTTCCTAAAAAATTAGTACCAAGCTAGGCGCCAGTGGCTCAGACCTGTAATCCTACCTACTCAGGAGGCTAAGATCTGAAGATCACAGTTTAAAGCCAGCTCAGGCAGGAAAGGCCGTGAGACTCTCATCTTCAATTAACCACCAGACAACTAGAAGTGGCACTGTGGCTCAAGTGGTAGAGTGCTCAACTTGAGCTTTAAGACTTTTATGCAGAAATGTGTGTGTGAGCATGTTCAGAATAATCTGTTTTTTGTTTTTTTTTTTGAGTGCGGTCATAGGGCCTGAACTCTGGGCCTGGGCGCTGTCCCTCAGCTCTTCAGCTCAAGGCTAGCGCTCTACCACTTGAGCCACAGCGCCAATTCCGGCTTTTATCTTTTTGCTTATGTGGTACTGAGGAATCGAACCCAGGACCTCAGGCATGCAAGGCAAGCGCTCTACCACTGAGCCACCTTCCCAGCCCTAATCTGGTATTTTAATGCATAAAGCTGTTAGCACTGCAAAGAGTTATCTGGCTTAGCAAAAATGTCAATCCTCTTGAGGACTTATTTGTTGTTGTGTTTTTATTTCAATTGCCTCCACTATTAAGATTTGGGGATGAATATCAGAAATTTAAGTCTAAAGGTTTGTTTATTACTGTCAAAGACATTATCCATTCTATCTGTCTGGAACTGCTTTAGTTTCTTTGGGGGGGGGGCTTTTATTTTTTAATTGTAAAAATACTGCACAGAGGAGTTACAATTACATGGGCAAGATAATGAGTACATTTCTTATCAAGCATTGTTGCCTCCTCCTGTGTTTCCCCTTCCTATCCCTTCCCATCTCCCCCTCCCCCCCCCAAG